ATAAAATGCATATGTGTGTGCAAAGTCAAAGTATACAAATGTGCACACAGCTTTGGCTGGAATAGCAAAAATGGTAGGAGAAGGGGTACTTGTAAGCCCATCCATGGAAGGCATGCACAAAGCACAAGCCCTGGTTGGGACAAAAGGAATGAAATTGCCCTTATTCATCACGTGGACGGACCTCAACATTACTTTGAATGAGCTAAGCCATAGAAGTTACGTGTAGAAAGAGCAGTTAATAAAAATTCATCTACATTAGGTCTGTAATTATCTATGAATGAGTCTAAGAATGGACTAGGTGTGCACAGATCGTGAGTAGTTGCTCTGAGGGTGGGAATGTGATGGTGACTATAGAGAAACAAACAGGACGTTAATGACAACTAATTTGGAGTGATGGCGATCATGTCTGATTACTTTTTATGCTTTTCCGTAATTAAGGAATTTGTCAGAAATAACATTTAAATAAACAAAAGGAAGTATTTCTTGCATTGAAACTGGAAGGGCCTATGGACTGCCAAACAGATGAAGAGCGCCCGCTGATTATGCCACGTCAGAGCCCACAGCTGAGGCTGGACATGAAAGGGGAGAAACAGGGGGAGGCAGGCACCTCGCCTCCCAGCTGGAGACCAAAGGAAGCCTCCAGGGTGAGGCCAGATGCTGCAGGTCGCAGTTATAATTCAGGATGAGAGCAGGGCAGGGGCTGCCCTCGGCGAAGAGCGAGCCCTTGAACCTGAGCCGGCACTCTACAAACACCTGCTAGGATCACTTACAAGCTTTCATCCCAATTCTTGTAAACATTCTCACACAATTCACTTTGTACACACCTACAAGTGTAGACCTAGGTACTCCAAAGCACTTCATGGAACCTGCTGACACACCAGCCACGCACCCATGGGAGGGTACGGAGGATGCGGAGGCTGCTGAGCTGGGTGCCAGGTGTCTGCCTGACAGGATCGCATCTGACTGCTCCTGCATCACCAGGATCCCGACAGCTGGCCCCTTCCCGGAACCTGGGGAAATTCAGATGAGCTCTTTGGCATCTTCAGAATTTCATTATTCATTAGTATTTTAGCATAAGTTCTTTTCAGAGAACTACTAGAGTGTGCACGTCCTCGAAGACAACCAGGGATGGGTGTGGGGTATGACATCACTGGTGTTTCTTGTGCACAGTATGTATCACGGAGAAGCCACTGGTGGACCATTAAGGGGGGGTCTAAGGGCTCCCACTATCTGAGGAGTCTGGCTGGCATTTCAGATGGGCTGGGATATTACTATTTTCCCCATCCTTCAAAATTCATGGGATCTGGGCTCCAACTAGCTGAAACTTCGCTATCCAACATTTTTCCAAGAATAGACTATTCAGATAACAAGGGATGACAGCATTTGATGGTTTCACCAGGTGAACACTTTATTTCAATAAATATTTAATTTGGAGAAAACAACAGAGGGACACAGGGCTCTCGTTTGTGTTCCAGAAGACCTTGCTTAACACAAAACTCACATGGTTCAAGTCTTGAATTTCCCACAGGGAAAAATCCAAAGTGAGTGTGGGGAGGGGCCAGGAGCATATTTTCAGAAATCACAACTCTTCAGACACTGGAGGGTGCTGTTATTTTAATTGTTTTATTCCCCCACCATTAGCTCTAGTGATTCTCAGGAAAGCTCTGGAGCTAACAGCAGCATGCAGCTTCCCACCTCTTACTACAGCTAACTTCTGCTCCCAAGCCACTGAATCAGGCCATCTTTCGAGACTTATTTCACTGCTGATTCTGTCACAGAACCTGAAAATGACTGTACGTCGGCACAGCAGCGGACGTCACCCAATTTTGGATGTCTGACAACCACCCCCTGCACCACGCACCTCGGGCTGCTTTGCCTCCCCAGACAGCAGTGCTGCCAAAGCGGGGATGGCGTACTTACGACACTTCACCAGTCAGCTCTGAGCCTGTGGGCGGTTTCATTGCTTTAACTTGCGGGAGGCATAGAGACATTATTAAGTTTTCATATCCCAGTATCTCACATTTGCTTGCTCATCATTTTAATATACAAAAGAAAAGACCTAAATATGGTAGTGAAACTATTTTTCTTCATTTTTCATAGCAGGGAGCCAACAGGGCGAATGTGAATTGATGACCTGGGAAAAGAATCTCTCACTTGGAAACAAGGACACAAGCCCAAGAAGCTGAAATCAGTGAGTCAATAATGGCTGCCTCTGCATCATGAAAATAAATAAAATACTTATATTTGTATAACACAGATGATCCTTGAAACCATGCTAAAGGACAGAAGCCAGACACAAAGGCCATATAGTGTATGATTCCCTTTGCAGGAAATGTCCCATAAATAAGCAAATACACCGAGAAAGTAAATTGGCGGTTGTCAGGGGCTGGAGCTGGGGGTCAGGGCAGTGGGGAGGGGCCCTCGCGGGTTAGGGCTTCTTTCTGGAAGGATGAGAATGTTCTGGCATTACATACTGGTGACAGCTGAACAATTCTAGGAATAAACTGAAAACCACTATATACTTCATATACTTTAAGTTTGAATGAACTTTATGGTATGTGAATATTTCAGTAAAACTGGTACAAAAATTTTGTTTTTCTGAAGTGACTGCCTCTAGTGGAGGAGGCCAGGCAAGAGGTGGGGAGGGAGACGACACCTCCAGTATCAACTCTGTGTCCCATTTCTCTCAGGAGCCACCCTTGTGCCTTACAGTTGCAAAGTCCCCTGCTTCGGCTCCTGCACACCTCTCAGACCCTGACCCCAGGCCCGGTCACACTGAAGCCGGCAATACCAGCTTGCTCCCCAGAATCCCCTTCTCCCCACACCCCTGCCAGAGTTATCTTTCCAGCCACATTCTAGACCCTGGCACCTCTTGCTCCCGACACCTCTGAGGTTCCTGCTGACCACTGGGATCCAGCCCTGGGTCTGCAGCAGGCATCCAGGGCCTGGATGGACTCGCACTGGCCTCTCAGCCTACTGTCTAGTTGGGGTCAGCCTCCACTCAGACGCTGGTCGTGCAGACACCCCCAGTGCGCTGCAGGTGGCCAGCCCCCTGCTCACTAGGAAGTGCCCGTTCGGCTGCCACATCCCCTTCCCCTTCGGGCCTAGGTTCGTGTCTCCCGGGCAGCCTCCCTGCTCTGCACCCTTTGATTCCTATGCAATCCTTGTCCCACCTCCCAAGGCGGGAGTCAGGCTTGGAGCCCTGTGGCCTCCCCAGGCACTGCAGGCTTCTTGTGTCCTGAGCCACGTGTACAGCACCAGCGGGCTGGGTGGCCTCAGCGGCTGAATGAAACACCCTGGAAAGGGGACTGGGGGTTCCTCAGGACAAGGCTCCAGCTTGTCCCTGTTCCCCCTCCCAGAAGCACAGAGTGCACAGGCACCCGAACACTGAGGGAAGGTGGAAAGAGGAAAGGGAGGGAGGCTGCCAACCAAGGCCGCTGTGCCTTGTGCACCGAAACCCACAGCCCAGCCCAAGCTCAGGACAGTGAACAGGCTGCTGACAGTGAGGCTCCCAGCCGTGGAACACTGTCTGAGTCCTCCGTGTGTGCTCTGGGGGTGACAGCTTCTGGCTGACTCCTTATCCACCCAAACTCTAGCTGTTGTGAACTGAGGAACCACACGGACTGGGTGGCCAGGGAAAACCTGGACACCTCGGAGGCTAACACTGGGCAGCCCTTCAGGGAAAAGCAGAAGCCCCATCTCACCTGGACCAGGGCTGCTGGGGGCCCAGCGACCCTCCTTGGCTCCTCGGGGTCCTCCACACGCAGAGCAGGGTCCTGAGGACACAGGGCTGAGGGGGGAAAGCGAGGTCACGGTGGCAGCTCCCCTGCCAGAAGTGCGCGCACAAGAGTCCTTCTTCCCAGGGGCACACGGGAGGCAGCCCTGGCCCTCCCTCTTGGGCAAGGGGAGAGACCCACCTCCTCATTTTACAAATAAAGGGAATGGGGCTCAGAGAAGATAAGCACTGTGCCTACAAACATGAGCCCCCGCAGTGCCCCCTCTTGTTTGGAGGCACTATCTCTGAGAAACAGTGTCTGTTGGTCACCTTTCCAGGCCTGGGCCCTAAATGGACACACATTTATTCTCATGCACCCTGTCCTGGAGATGTCACCGTCACTTTCTCCCTCAGCAGTGTCCTGGTATCTCTCTGTTCCAGATCTACAGAAACAGCTATGAGCCAGATCTGCCCTGCCCTAAACCCCCACCTGACTCCCCTGGCCTGGCCATGAGTCCCTCCTGGGAGAAGCTACAACATGGTAGCGACGTGGCCAATGAGGACACAAGGTTTTGACTCACCCCAGGAGGCCCACGGGTCAACAGCCGCGATCCCCCATGACGGGTCTGAAAGGACACCTACACAAGACGATCAGGTTAAGGCAGGGAACAGAAGGCCACTTTCCTAAAAGTTCTGTTGACAAAAGGCAACAAAATGGAAAAGGACACCTGTCTCACTAACAGGCCTAACACAGTTCTGCAAACAGAGCCCAAGGGCATGAGGAAAAAATACAACACAGCAAGTTAAATTTATACCAGAAATGCACAAGTAGATAACTCTCAGGAAATGTACTGACATGACATTGTCACAAAATAGACCAGTTAGGAACAGAACCCCTCAAATGACTGAAGAGCTAGCTTGACAAAATGTGTAACGTTACCTAATTAAAAAAACAAACTACTAAGATAATTGATGTCTTTAGTTGAGATACATGAAACCTCACTTAGCGATAAAACACACCACTAACATACTACTTAAAATTGTTCTTAAATTACAGAGCTATATAAGCAAAAAACAATCATAAAAATAAATATGGGAGTGGTAGGGAAATTTTTATTGTAATAATGACTATCTTCTAAGAAATCCCACAAATCACCTATAAAATCTCACAACTAATGAGACATCTCAGGAGATGAGATGACTATAAAATATACAAAAATTATACTGTCTTTCACATGAACAAGTTTCCCCTTTTACCAACAACCAAGTTTGGTTTTAACCCCCCAGCTGTGATTCCAGACAGGATCCAAAGAGTTTTACAATCTCTGCCATTTTATGGAGACTTACTTCACCCGTCTGCGTCAGCCTCCTAAGGTACTGTGTCAACCATAGAAGAGCACAGAAAAGGGTGGACAGTCAAGGTTCTTTTTTTAATCTCACTCACTTAGTTCTGTACCAAGGCAGAGACCCCCTCCAACCTCCCAAAACCCTCAGACGGCCACCCCCAGCTCTAACCCCAGGCTCCTGGGTCCTCTAGGGAGGCCCGGAAGAAACAGGATTTGCACTCACCCCAGGACGCCCACGGGTTGATGGCTGCCATGCCGCAATATTAATCCACCAGGTGCCTGCCTGGAGCACTGGATTCGGCTGATATACAGAAAGAAACAGCAATGCCAACCTAGTGACAAAAGCGAAGACAAAAGTGGTCCTTTCTCACGGAAGATCCAGTGGGAACAAAGAGAACCCATCCACAGAAGCAGCAAAACAGTTCTTGGGATCATAATAAGAAAACAGATTTTACATATCAAAAACAACGCAATATCTGGAGAGAAATGAAGACTTGAATAAACTGAAAAAGAGCAGAATCCAGGATGAGAGGGTAGAAATTTGTCAGCGGTTCCCAAGAGACGACAGTGACAACACTGTGGCACCTTTTCGGCTGACTTGACAAAAGTCACTGTAGCATCACGCGCAGCCCCCACCCCCAAGCGGCTGCCTAGGGCTGCGGGGCGGGAGAACGCGGAGTGCCGCCTAACCGGGGCAGCGATTTCCTTTGCGGGGTGCGAGGAAACCGTTCTGCACCGGTGGCGATGGCTGCACCTTCTGAACATACAACAAAACCACTGAATTGTACACTAAGATGGCTAATTTCATGTTACGTAAATATTATCTTGGAGGAAGGAAGGAAGAGCTGCGGTCCACCTGCAGGATCTACCAGGCCCACGCCTGCTCGTCTCCTGCTGCGCAGGCCGGCAGAAGGCCGACTACCGGCTGCCTGGGCTCCGGTCTCTGTGCCAGTCCTGCGACCACTGGGGGCACCAACCCGACGGGCAGGGCTCTGCGGATTCCTGCGAGTGTGTGCGCGGCACCAGGACGCCCACTGGGCCCCAGGGGCACCGGGATCCGTGCCAAGGCTGCAAGCAGGCAAGCTATTCTGCACCGTTGTTGGTGACGTGCGAAGTCCTCCAGTCACTGCTTCACAGGAACCCGGGGTGTTCCCAGCCCGTTTGAGTGACTTCCTTCGGCGCCGTAAGCGGAGGCGCTCGGACGAGAAACGCCCGCCGGAGAACGAAACGGGGCTTATTTACATGAACGGCCTCGAAAGCATCGTCATCTGCGGCCGGGCGTCCCGCCCCGGGTTTCCCGCAACCCCCCAGGCGGATGCGGTGCTCAGGAGCCCGCGGAGCGAGCGGCCGGCCTCACCTGGTTCGCGGCTCCCGGCCTCGCACCCTGCGCGCCGGTACCCGCCGCTCCCTGCAGGCCACCAGCAGGCTCCGGGTCGCTTCGCCGGGGCGTTCGGCCGGGATCCCCGCGCGCCACCTGGGGACAAAGGCCCGCTGGGCCGGAGGCCGCGAGCCGACACGAGTCCCGACAAGCAGGATCCACGGGGGCCCCCGCCCAGCCGACCCAGCGCGGCGCGAGCCCGGCGGCGAGCGGCAGGAGGGTCCGAAGGCCGAGGGAACGGGGCTGCGCGGTCGGCGCGGAAAGGGCAGGCGGGGCCCCGCCGGGCGCCGCGTCTCCCCGGTGGTTCTCCCGACGCGCGGAAGAGCCGGCAGCGGGGGGGCCCGCTGGCCGGGCGATCGCCTCACCTCAGCCGCGGACAATGGCGGCCGCTCCCCCGGCGCCGTCCAGGGCGCGCCCCGCGGGCTGCTGGGGGTTGTAGTCCGTAGCCGTGAACTTCCGCCAGGGCCGGAAACGCCGCCGCGGCCGAGCACCCGAGCGGACCCGAGTCGGCCCCGGCCCCGCGAGCCTCGGGGGGCGGGCCTGTGGAGCGGCGGCTCCTGGTGGCCGCCCTCAACGGAGGGGATCCGACGAAGCCCGAGCGCCTTCTGCGTCCCGGGCGCGGGTCCGAGGGATCCTTACTGTTTAGAAGACGGCTAGGAAGTGGGCGTTCTGATACCCCTTTCAGATAACCTAATTTTGAGCTTCCTGCATACGAAGCTCTACTACTTAGAGCATCACGGATTGTTCCCAAATCTCTCCCCAGATGGCGACGTTTTATGGGAGCGTAAATTATCACCGACCTACTGTGATTTTTCCTTGAGTCAACATTTACTGAGCGGCTCTGAGGAATGCAGTCCTATTAACCCAAGTGCTGCCTCGGCGGCTGCCGTTCAAACCACTACCCAAGCGCACGGACAGGGGTCACGAAAAGCCCCTCAGCCACCACGGGGAGGACCCCTGGGCCAGGACCCCAGCCCTCGGGCCCGACTGGCCCTGGAAGCCCCGCGGCAGAGCCAAGGACGCGCCTTCGGGGCCCCCTCACGGCTTCCGTCCCCCCCCCCCCGGGCTTAGGGTGACCTTCGCCCAGGGCCCCTTCCTCTTTATTCACCTTATCTGGGCAACCCCTCAAAGTGGGACTGACAGATCATAGGGTACGAATATTTATGTTCAACATTGGTAGATATATCACCCTGTTTCCAAAAGGATTACACTTTTTATTATCGCTGGCAATGTCTCGGAATTCACTTGTCCACATCCTCCCCAGTACTTGGTAGGGTCAGATTTTTAAATTTTTGCCAAATTCGTGTTTGGAAATGGTATTTCATTGTGAGATGTGTACACTTCTCTTAGCAGTAAGAGTCACATCTTACAGTGTTTAGCCATTTGTGCTTTCTCCCCATGAATTATCTTCAGCTCATTTCCTTTAGGCATCTTTCTATTGGGTTGTCTTCTCTTCCTGGTGTGTAGAACTTCTTTCCATAAATTTAGCATTAATCTTTTCTTACGAATATATCCTTTCCAAGTTGTGACTTACCTTTCACTTTATGGTCTTCTGAAGAAAAGGATTTTCTTTAAGTGTCTTTTATAGTTTTTTATGTCTTAATTTGAAAATTCCCAGTAAATTCTTCCGTTCTTGTATTTCCAAACAACCACAGATCTGCTTTCTGTCCCTGTAGGTAAGTTTGAGTTTTCTATAGTTGTATGTAAGTGGAATGATTTATAATTTTTTTACAGGGGATGGAGTCTGGCTTCTTTTACTCAGCACTGTTATTTTGAAATTCATTTATGCTGTTGAATATATCAGTAGGTCATTTTATTGCTTGGTAGTATTACACTTTAAGGATCTCTCACTATCTAGTCATCTGTCAATGGACACGAGTTGTTTCCAGTTGGGCTATTACAAATAAAGCTGCTAAGAACATTAGTATAGTATACAAGTCTTTATATGGACATATATTTCCTTTTATTTTGGGTAAAAGTTTAGGAATAGAACGGCTGGATCATATGGTATGTCTAAGTTCCACATTTTCAAAATTGTCAAGTTGTTTTTCAAAGTGGTTGCACCATTTTACATTTCCACCACCAGTGAATCAGAGTTCCAGCTTCTCCACATCCTTGCCAACACTTGCCAACACTTGGGTATCAGTCTTTTTGATTTTTGCAATTCTAATAGATGTGTATTGGTATCTCATTGTGGTTTTAATTTGCATTTCCCTAATTACTAATGATGTTGAATATCTTTCATGTTTCTTTTCCATTTGCATATTTTCTTTGGTGAAAATACTTTGCCCATTAAAAAAAGGGGGGTATTTTCTTACTGTTGAGTTTTGAGTTCTTTATCCTGAGAATATGTCCCTTATCAGCATTATGTTTTGCAAAAATTTTCTCCCTATCTGTGACTTTTCTTTCCTTTCTCCTAACAGTGTCTTTTGAAGAACAGTTTTTAATTTTGATGAAGTTCAATTTATCACTGTGTTCTTTTAGGAACTGTTTTGGGTGTCTTATCTCAGAAGTCTTTGCTTAATCCATAATCACACACATTTTCCTATTTTTTCTTTTAGAAGTTTTAGAATTTGAATTTAAATCTATGAAATTTAAAAAATTGTTAATTTTCGTATATGGTATGAAATAAGGATCAAAAATTCCTTTTTAAAAAATAAGGGCATTCCAAACATTGGAGGATGAAATATCACCAATCTTCTACAAACTCTGTTTGAGAATAGAACAAGGAAATACTGACTCATTTGATAAGGCCAATAAAATGTTGATTCCCCAACCTAAGGTCATTACAAAGAAGGAAAATTACAAACCAGTCAACAATTTTTAAACCACAAATTCCCAAACATATACAAATTAAGCAGTATACTTAATGCTGAAAATTTTAAGTTAAATATCAGCAAAACAAATCCAGTAATATATATTATATAAAATGTATGTTTATTTCAAGCATTCGTCTTATTATATACCCAATTAATGAAAGAAAACATATATAATCATCCTTAGAGATATATGTTAGGCTAGAGAAAGGAAAAACAAGGACATGCAAACAGAACAGAGAGATGCCATAGGGGGAGAACAGACCAGACCCCAAAGTCCGTGCCGTATATGGAAAGGGGGCAGCTCTCCCCGAATTCCATCCTGATGTGCCAACTGGGACCCGGATGTCAGCCTCCTCCCTCTTGGAAGGAAAAAGTTTCTAGTTGACTATTATGTCACCTTTAGCCAATCATACCTCTCAACACCCCCCTAGGATCGCTTGCCCGCTCCTCCCCCTCCTAATCCCTTATAAGCGCCCCACCTCCCTAACCGGGCGTGACTTCTCTGGCCTCCGGCAAGAGGGCCATAGAACCTCCCCCGGGGGTATTTAAATAAATTACCAGGCCATTTGTTGCGTCTCTTCGCCTGCTTATTCCGGCTAGAATTTATATTACAATATAGAAAAGGAATTTGATAAAATTCAATATCCATTCATCACTTAAAACTTAATGAACTAGGAATTTCTTCTCTTTTTGGTAGTCTTTAATTTTTAAAGAATTTTAGACTTACAGGAAAGTTGCAAAAAGTGAAAGAACTCCTTTATACCCTTCACCAAGAGTCTATAATTGTTTATATTTTAACATATTTGTTTTACCAATTTTATTTTGTCTATATTTTTGTGAACCATGTAAGAGTAAGT